CTAAGTTCAGGAATGAACTGAACTAATTTCTTTAGCTCCTTTGGGGGACTAGTCTTCAAGTCTTCTCTAATAATTAAGCCTAGCTGGAAGTGGTTGGCAATGGTGGGGTGGGAGTTTTTACGTAGCCCAATTTGAAAGGTATTAAGTAAGAATTATGAACTTTAAGAACACAAGTTCTGCCATTTACTGGGCATGTCTACATGTGCACCTGAATGCGCAGTTGTTACTGCATAGTCATTTAGTACTTGCTTTAGCTTTTAGCAAGTACTAAATGACTGCACAGCAACCAGTGGTACTGTGCAGTTCTGGCGCCACATGGGTTGTTTTCAGCCCTACTGCACAGTAGCAACAAACTACTGCACAGTAGCTCATTGCTCATGCCCACCGATTCTACGTCATCATAACAATGAGCTACATTGCTGTAGCTTGTCACTGTGCCAATGTAGCATCTTGTGTAGACGCATCCACTGTGTCAGACAATAAGTCCATCTTGCCTAGTATCCTGTGTCACACAGTGGCAGAGAGTAGATGCTGGAAGGGAAAGTGAACTAGATATGACCAAACTTTTTTCCATTGTTCCTTTCACACTTCCAGCATTTAAGGTCAAGGAAGTTCTCATTCAGAGGCTGTACCCCTAACTTCCCTTCAGTGAAGTCTATAAGAGATGAGGGTATGTTTTGCTGGATTAGGTCCCTAGCAAATAGCCATAAAACTCCCTGTGCTCTTTTTTGAAAGGGTTTATGTTTAATATTTCAAACAAGATAATTCCCCAATGCTCTTCACCTAACTTTAGGTGTTCTTCACCTAACGTTAGGATATTCCCTTACAGATAAAAAGTAGCAGAAGGGTCAAAAAACCCTCTTGGCTAAGCAGGGAAGTTGCAGCCCTCCTCCAAAAAAAGAAAGAGGTATATAAACAATGGAAGCTTGGGACAGCCTTTAAGGAAGACTACTTGACAAAGGCCTGTACTTGTAGAAACCAGATTAGGCAAGCTAAGGCAGAAACCAAACTAAAACTAGCTACAAGAATCAAGGACAACAAGACCTTCTTTAGCTACATAGGGAGTAAAAGGAAAACATGGGAGTGTGAGGCTGCTGCTCAATGCCTCAGGATACCTGGTCACTACCACTCAGGAAAAAACAGAATTCCTAAATGACTACTTTGCCTCGGTCTTGCACAAGACCAAGGGGAACAACACGCCAGGAAGGGCACAGAATGAGCAGAGCGGGATTGACACCATTCCCACCATTTCCATAGAACTGGTGTATGATCAATTAAAGGAATTAGATGCATATAGATCAGCAAGACCGGATGAACGCCTCCCAACAGTGCTGCAAGAGTTGGCCGAAGTAATTGCAGAGCCCCTGGCAAAGGTCTTTCAAAAATCATGGGCCTCTGGAGAAATCCCAGAGGACTGGAAGAGGGCCAGTGTTGTGCCCATCTTCAAGAAGGGGAAGCATGAGGACCTGGGAAACTACAGACCTATTAGCTTAATTTCTATTCCAGGGAAAATCTTAGAAACATTCATCAAAGAGGCTTTCTGTGACAAACTTGAAGAAAGCATGATACTGAATGACAGCCAGCATGGCTTTGTTGCGGGCATGTCTTGTTTGACCAACCTCATTTCTTTCTATGAACAGGTGCTGTCACCTGGATGAGGGAAAGCAGTTGACATCACGTACCTTGACTTTCAGAAAGCCTTTGACCTGGTATCCCACCAGGTACTGATCAGAAAACTGGAAGATATCAGGCTCAACTGTGGGACTGTCAAGTGGGTGCGAAACTGATTGCAGAGTAGGATGCAGAGGGTCCAAATGAATGGATTGGTGTTGTCCTGGAGAGATGCGGGCAGTGGCATACCCCAGGGATCGGTACTTCGCCCAGTGCTGTTCAACATCTTCATCAATGACCTGGATAAGGGGGTGAAAAGTCCATTGGCCAAGTTTGCAGATGACACCAAGATAAGGGGGGTTGCGTGGACACACATGCAGATAGGCTGCAAATACAAGCAGACCTAGACAGGCTGGCATGTTGGGCAGAATGGAACCAGATGAGGTTCAATGTAGAGAAATGCAAAGTGCTGCCCCTGGGAAGGAAGAACCCCCAGCACACCTACAGGCTGGGCAACACAACCTGACCAGCACTACAAATGAAAGGGATCTTGGGGTAACAATAGACCCCAGCATGAATATGAGCTGGCAATGCGATGCAGTAACCGCTAGGGCCAATACAACTCTGGTATGTATCAATCGATGCATCTCCAGTAAAACCAAAGAAGTGATTCTGCTGCTTTACTCAACATTGATGTGGCCACCGCTGGAGTATTGCTTCCAGTTTTGGGTGCTGCAGTTCAACAAGAATGTGCTAAAGCTCAAGAGGATCCAGAGAAGGGCCACCTGTATGATTAGAGACTTGCATGGCAAGCCATACAAGCAGAGGCTGAGGGATCTTGGATTCTTTAGTCTAAAGAAAAGAAGGCTGAGAGGGGATTTCGTTGCAGCTTACTGCTATATCAGAGGCGTACAGCAAGGGCTTGGTGAACAACTATTCACCAGGGTGCCCTGGGGTAAAAATAGAAACAACAGCCACAAACTCCTAGAAGATAGCTTCAGGCTGAACATTAGGAAAAACTTCTTCACAACTAGGGTGTCCAGATTATGAAACAAGCTCCTTCCAGAGGTGGTTCAATCATCTGCCCTAGAGGTCTTCAAGAGAAGACTAGACGGTCACCTGGCTGGGTCACCTGACCCGATGTCTTTCCTGCTCATGGACCTGCTGATCCTTCAGGGTCCCTTCCAGCCCTATGATTCTATGATTTTTTTAGGAAGTACAAACTTTATTTTAGATACTTTGCCTTAGGTCAATCTGTGGTACAGGTACCACTAGTGGTACACAGACAACCCAGCAGTGGTATGCGTCAACAGATTTGTTTAATTACCTTATATGACAAAAATTTGCTGGTGGTACTTAAGGTTTTATTGTTTTAAATTGGTGGTACACAGTCTGTTAGAGATTGGGAACCGCTGCCTTAGGTACTATGGATAATTACACAATAAACAATATATTTTAATTATATTATATTCAGACCATATCAGTTCACAAAACACATTACAGAGGAAGGAGAAAAGTATTCAGCCTTGTATAAACTATAGTTACAGAAAAAAGAAGGTACAACTTATACAGTTCAAAAAGTATAATTTTAGTTATCCAGTGTTACAGAAAAATTATTTACTAGTATTGCTAGTTTTGTAACAGACATACATTCATGAATGGTTTAGTTTTAAAAACCCCTTTCTTTTGTAACTGGCTCATAAAAAGGAAAATGGATTTCACACCATCGGTAACTTTGTGGATGAATTTGATGTTCATTAAAGTAAGGAAGTGATAGCTTTGGCTGGAATTAGTCCGAGTATAGCCAAGAATGGATCAAGCTTTTCCACACATCTCTATTCTGCCTTGCAACATTCCTGTTATTCCAGAATTGGGTTGGGCTTGCTATAATACAGACAGGTACTGATCAAGCTTCTCCACACACAGCTCTTCCAGCATACCTCTGCCCTGTCTTGCAACACTTCTGTTATTCCTCTGTGCCTTAGGCAGAGCCTGTCAGATGGGCGGTGATTGTGGATCTGCTTCTGCTCCTGTTGAAATAAAACTGTAATGTGTCCATTGACTTCAATGGTACAGGATCAAAGTCTTGGTGATGAAGACAAATGTCCTTGATAAGAAAAACTCATTTCTTCTGAAGTATTGGGATTTTGTCCCAGGCACTTAGAGGTAAATTTTAATTGTGACCTGGTTATCCTTTCATTACAGCAATTGAAATCTGAGTGACTTCATAGTTTTCAACCGAGTTGCACTAGTGTCTGTGACAGTAGAATCTGACCATTGGAGTATGATATTGTTGTGATTTCCTGGACAACTGTGTTCTTCAGAAGAAGAAATTTACTATTGATAAAATATTTTAGTTTTTTTAAAATAGACTTGCACAGTTCTTTGTGTAATTAATATCTGTAGGGCCAAAGTCACCAGCAGGTTTTGATGTCAATGGAGTTATCTAGGTTCGCACCAGCAGTTGAGTTTAGCCAATAGCTTGTGCGCCAAATTACATGGAAAATCAAATAAGTATGAGAAACAAGAAAATATGTCAAATCAAGTATTTTCTTTGCTCTTTGTGATAATTTATTGCATGAAAAAATACATTTAAAATTAAAAAAAGGTTTTACTTTAAGCAATGTACTAAACTTAAAAAAGATTGGTTTGGTGCATGAGTCTAATGAAGGGACATGAATATGGATGTCCGTGGACTGAGAAGCCTAGAGGAATTGCTTATTATCAGTAGTGACACAGAAGCCTGTGCTTGAAACTCTGCACATCGGGAAGAGGCGAGTCCCCCAGCACAAGTGGTTTCTCCAGTGATGTTCCGTGTTGATCAAAGCTGCATTATTTAAATCTATCTGGAGGCAAGGCCATAAATTATTGACGGTATTTTTTAAAAAGTCGTCTTTTAGGTGGATTGGGTGCAAGTTGCAGTTTTCTGTGAGTTGTACAGCCTCTAGCATCCCCCCCCCCCTTTTTTTTTTTTTTTT